CTCTGTGATTTTGTACGCTTTATTTGATTATCACGATTTATGATTTTAATGTGTAGTGTAACTTTTGCATGCATTAATGGTTAGGGAATATCTCACAGTTAATAAACCGTTGTAACGTTAGAAGTAGCTCACCCTGTAATAATGATTTTAGCATAATTTTGCACCAATGGTGCAGAATCGGCAGATAAAAGATATACGCAATTTTGGCATATTTCTGCATTAATGGCGCAGAATGGGCGGACAAAAGATACACATAATTGTGATATAATTTTCCATCAACGGTGGAAAATAAACGAGGAAAATGCATCCATAATTTTGACATAAAATCTTGACAAATTCAAAGTAAAAATTCTAGGTATTTTTTTCGGTTCTTATGCACGTCTGGTGTGTTTTGCATCTATGTTCTCAATTGTTTGGCACCATTTTGTGTTACCGACTGTTCGAGACCAATGGTGCTACTGATTTGCGAAAATTTGCCCATGGAGCAAATTAATTAGCATCAATTGATGCAAACACCTCGTGAACAGACAGACGGAGAGACGGACAGACAAGAGGAATTCAATAGCTCCCGTGCTATACGCAGGGTGAGCTAATAAGTTCCGGAGTTCAATGTAAATTGGAAAAGTAATTAGCAATCCGGACCTTCATCAGGGTATAAAACAGCATGCTGTTCAATATAATTTTTCAGCGAGATTGCATCCGCCTGTATGTACTATGCAATTCTACCGCCTTGGATACAATCTATCTCCTGAGAGTGGTACACCGTTAGTAATCGGTTACCGTGAGATTACACATTCCAACCTCTTTTTCACCAATTAATTACGTTTCCTAATTCATTTGCATAGCATGCCCAAAATAACTGGGAGTGAAATGAAACGGTGTAGCCTCAACAGTTTTTGTGCTACAAAGTCCTAGTTAATTTTAACGAAAAGCCAATTAATTTCAGAGTAGAAACCAATTTTTGGTTTTTGAAAATTTCCTCCCTCTACAGTATTGCAGCCCCGAAGACGCGGCCTCCAGCCATCGCTTGAAGAACGCACGGAATTCGTGGACAAACTGTCGCATTCAGGGGTCAGAGATTTTTTTGAAGCCTTCACACTTTTGAGGGGCTTAGAACACACTTCTGCCCCAAACTTTGACCATATTTCATAATCCGAGAATTCCAATCCAGCAAGAAGGATTATAATTTCGAATTGGAGAAGAAGTCTGAGATTTGTTTTTTTAGCCACGCTTGCATAATTTTTTTTTGCACTATGAGTCCTGCTGAAAGGTCCGGTCGACTCCTTTGAATGGGATCTCATTCAGGGGATGTACCACGGATTCGAAAACACATTTCGAAGAAGTTTGGTTCCATCACCTTATCCCCATTTTGTCCAGAATTACCCCAATTAGCTCTAACTTGTCAAAACCATCACCAAACCTGGATAATGTGACATTTTGACCTTTTTCTGTATTGGAAGATATCTTTCACCGATTTTTCGTAGATGAGGTTACCTCACCCTGCGTAGCACGGGAGCTATTGAATTCCTCTAGTCCGTCGGTCTGTCTGTCTGTCTGTGTGTTAACGAGTTTTTTGCATCAATTGATACTAATTAGAGCCAGTTATTGGCATTCTTGACCGAGTTATTAGCACCACTGATATCGAACAATTAGCGACTCAAAATGGTGCCAAACAATTGAAGGAATAGACACAAAACGCACCAAAAGTGCAGACGAACCGGAAGAAATAACTATAATTTTTACTTTAAATTTGTCAAGATTTCATGTCAAAATTATGCCTCGTTTTCCCTCGTTTATTTTCCACCATTGGTGCAAAATTATATCACAGTTATGTAAATATTGTGTCCGCTCATTATGCACCATTAATGCAAAATTAAGTCAAAATTGTGGATCTGTTTTATCCGCCTGTTTTGCACCATTGGTGCAAAATTATGTCAAAATAATTCTCACAGGGTGAGCTACTTCTACCGTTACAACGGTTTATTTTGTTTATTAAAATATTCTTCAACAGTGAAAATTTCTTCATTTTTAAACCAATCCTCTTCACTTTTTTTGGAGCGTACCGCTTCAAGCGACCCCTGCATTTATTTAATCTGACTTTTTCTGGGGGGACGGTCAGCATGTGGTAAGTACCACATCTCGAAGCATTAATCCCCAGGTTCAATTTGAGCACTTATAGGATAATCTTTTCGACACTGTCCCATGTGAGGCTAGTTTTCGTTGCAAATTCGGGAATTTCTTCGGATTCTAGCCTTCTGCGCATTCAGTATGGGTGGGGTCCTGGTGGACCTAATAAAATTTTCTTCGACTGTTTTTAATCGACCCAATGTCCATCAACGTTTTCATAGTCCGCTGGACTAAAATTAAGTTCACCTTCGACTGCTTTATTACTTTCCAAATTCGCAATTTCTCTCCCCATTTTTTGGTGAACAATAATCGCCGCCCGCGTCCTTTCTTGATTTTCCATGCTGACCTGCTTTGCAAGCAATTAAAAACCGATTTATGGTATTTATGCAAAATCGAACGAGGAAGCCAATGCACTTATCAGATTTTAATTATCTCTTGCGGTTTTGGAGATAAAAGCTACTTACAGCTACCTTGGGCATGCTATGTACACCAAGGGAATTCATTCACTATGTATTTAACAACCAACTCAATTTTCTTTCTGAGATTTTGAATCAAATCATTGATGCAGTTTTTCATACTTCAAGGTAAATTTGTGGGATTTGACTTTTAACAACTCTACCATTCATTATTTTATAAATAAATTCCCAATTTAATTCATGACCTCATAATTTAAGGTCATTTTTATGACGCTTCCGGTGTAACCTCGACTGGAAAGGTGCTTCATGTGTACCTCTACTTCAACTTTTAGAGCATTTTGGGGACATTTTTTAAATCAAGTTTGCAAAAAAACCACACGACCAATTTTTTAGTTGCTCTACCCGATTTTGAAAACAAATTTGAATTCTATTGGACCGCCTTTAAGCGCGGGTGTCTCAAACCTTTCCACGAATAAATGGGACAGCCTGTATTTGCCTCGACCCCCACACTCGGGACAAACACATTCCTAGACGATGTTTTTTCGAAGGGAATGCTGCGAAAACATTCTTTTTAAATGATCGCATTACTCATGGTCTAGGCATTATAATCAGAGCCAGTTTTACAGAAGAAGCGCATGTAAAAATGGGTAGGTTTAATTTTAATTCCTCGACCATAGCATACTTTTTGGTCCTGGATAAAATGCTAAAACTCGATGCTGCAAAATAACAGCGCAATTCAAAAAGGGGGCAAACAGTTAATGTCTTTGAAACAAAAAGCGATTAATTCAAAATCAAATGGTTAAGGCAACATGCTCAAACTGTGTTCTACCACGGTGTTTTATTAGGAGCTCTTAAATTCCTCCCTCAACCAGGTTATCCCAATAGGGTTACTCATCTCAACTCAAAGTACGTAAAATTACGAGATAAACTAGAAATTTATAAATTAAGGATTTTGTGGCATTAAAAATTTATTTCTAGTTTATTTTCGTGGCCACGGCCGGATTGAGTTCCAAGTTAATCGTATTATTTTACGTTGTTTAAGTTCAGATGCGTACCCCTATTGAGATAACTCGGTTGAGGGAGGAATTTTAGAGCTACTAATAAAACACAGTGGTTTCTACAGAAATGCGAAATTCTTCCGTGAACAGTATGTAATTAGAAATTTGGCACTTGCCACACGGGGATCGTCCATATATTACGTCATCAAAAATTCTGGATTTTAGTACCCACCCACCCAACGTATAGGGTAGAAGTGAAAACTCGCAAATTTGTAAGGCAAAATTCGAAAAGTGTAATATTGATGGAATTTTGGGCGCGTTTTCGTCTTTTTTTATGCAAATATCTCCGCCAAACCTGCGCATTTGCAGATAGTTGCATTTGCAAATTTCATACTAATTTAATTTGTGATCAACTGACACCAGTTTCGTCGAAATCTGCGAGCATACGTTGGGAGACCTCCATTGTTAGTCCTAGTACAATCAAAATTACCCAGAATAAAGAAAATCTTCGGGCAAGTACTGCAAAAGTTTACATACATATTTCAATATCGCGTGTGAGGGTAGCATATTACATTGATGTATATTGGTCACTATAATTGTTAAATGTAAAATGATGAATGTATGAAAATGTTTTGTGTGCATGTGTACAATTGCCCCATGACGTGGTGGTGGTTGCCATGGTGACGTCACAGGGGGAAAAGTGGGTACGCGTCAGTCTTTGTTCTAAAGTCGTAGTAAGTAAGTAGGTGGAAAGTCGTCCACACTTGAGTTTAAGTCATCGTGGTAGGCGGACAAGAGTAAGAATTGTAGTTCTTTTTAATTGTTGCCCACGATTAATTTGTCAGTATAGTTAGTCACCAATCAACTCGTGTTGTTAGCAGAGCTCTGAATTAGGTTGACAATTGTTGATTTATTAGTAATTTGCCGTTTGGAATAAAATCCAGTTTAAGGAAATTACTAAACGTTTACTGCACTATTCACTCCGTCAGCTTTCTTTAAAACCCCGAGCAAGGCACAATTAAATATCTAGTAAAGACACTATACTTCGGGTAGAAGATAGCTTGGTTTTTCATCCTTTTTGCCATTAGAATTTTCACTAATTTTCCATTGTTTTTTCACCACCATGATCATGGTAGGAATAACTATAACTGAAGATAGGGAGCGATGAGGGGATTTATTAGGAAGATTGGGATGGAGGGAACATACGGCAACTCATTCGGAGGGAACGGGAATTGTACAACCATAGCCATGGCTTTGGTTTAAATTCTAAGTATGTATTTATAACTTTTCATAAAATTAGCCTTTTCTAGGAACCCTTGAGTATGTGTTGGGGATTACTAGAGTTTCTACCTTATTAATCTCTTCGTACCCTTGCCTTTCAGCATTTCTCTTGCTTAATATCTCAAAGCCGTATTCATAATAATGAATCCACCTGTTGATGCCCCCTTACATACTTCAATTCAAACTTATCCAAGCATACCAAAGTTTTGAGTATGGAATGTTCTTCTGTTGGTTTTTTTAGAACATGTTACCTTAGTTGGTATGCATATTATTCACTAAATCAGTTTTATTCTCAATCTTAGATAGGCGACTCTATCATCGACATCATTTTTGTATATTTATATAGACATATAATACACATATAATTACGTGACCTATTTAATTAAATCGGAAATCTAGCATTTAAAATATCCCATAGTTTTGATAAGTTTGTGTGGCAAAATTATTTCGAAACAAACCTGTTAGCAACCAATATAGGTAAGAAATACATAAAATATTCAAATTTCGCTTTGGATACAATTCTCCTCAGATACTAATAAATACTTAATTGTCATTTTCAAAGAGTTTAGAATCATCAATGGATCTCAATCAAGGTACAAATATGCAGTGTCCTCACTGCTCAAAAGCCTTTAAAACCAGACGGGATCTTAGAACCCACCTCTTCACGCATGACGAAAACGCTCAAGTTAATTGCGACGTAAGTGAATTATGCTGTCTAATTACAAGTCTCTCTAATTACTAAGCCGAATTTGTAATTAATCAGGACTTCATAATTAAAAAAACATTTTATGATATTAAATCGAGATAAGTAATTGAACCTTTACTAAAATCTCTACCTAGCCCACCAAACCTCAAAAATTGATTGTTGGTTTTTATTGAATTTCTGATTAAAGCCTAGTACTCAGCTTTTCACAATTAGACTCAACTTCTCCACATATTTATTAAATTACCCCTTAACTTAAAATACTTCAATTCGCATCGGTTTGTCATGAATTGACGCATATTCTCAGTTATAAGTAAAATATCGCTTAAATTACATTATCTCCACAACAGTGGGTTAACTTTTTCACGTGTAGAAAACGAGCTGTGTACTAAGCTTAACAATTTATTAAAATAAGCTTACTCATGTATTTAAACCTTTAATTAATTCCATTGTTTAATTAATTAGAAAGCCCTGTCATAAATAAATAGGCTTATTATTAAACAGGATAAATCTATTTAGTTACATACTTTTTTTTACCACAGATTTGCACAAAAACACTAAAAAATCCTCACGTACTCAGCCGTCATATGCGAACCATGCACAGCAATAAAGCAAAACCAGTCTGTTCAATTTGCTCGCAACAATTCTTCACTGGAACATCTTTACGGGACCACACGAGTAGAATTCATGGAACGACGGGCGAAGGAGGTGAAACATGTAAAATATCTCAGGGACAATTTGTCAATGCAAAATATTTACAAAACCACACATAAAATTCACACCGCGAGGGAAGGCTCCCGACACCCGTGCACATTTCCAGGATGTCTCAAATCCTTCACTTTACGGCGTGAAGCTGTCAAGCATTTCAAAAATGTTCACATCCAGACGATCCGGCCAAGACACCCTTGCCCGTTTTTGGCTTGTGGGAAATCCTTTCTGAACAAGAAAACCGTCCGAATTCACTTTAGAGCGGAACACGACGAGAATCCGGTCCGATGGAGGTGCACCCTTTGTGGCGTCCAATTTAAGAATAAAAATCACCTCGAGAACCACATTGCTACCCATACGAAAGAAAAGAGCTACAAGTGTGAGACATGTGGGAAGACCTTTATCCGCCTTTCCCGCCTCAAATTGCATCAGGTAAAGAAATTTTGATTATGAAAAAAATCTCTCGAATCCTAGAATACAGGGTGTTTCTCCCGAGTTTGTGCTGCAAGCGAACAAAATCTGGTCAACCTCCTAACCACAAAGTACACAGATTTGTGTAGTATTTTATTTCCTTTCACGGCGAAATACACAAATGTGTGTACTGCATAAATTACCCTGACATCAAAATTTCTCAGATTATTTCTTCGGTAATTTGTGGAAAACTCGATGGGAAAAAGTGGATTTTTTTCGATATTTTTCTTCACAAACTTTTGAATTTTCCCCATATCGGCCAATGTTAAAAAGGGGATTTTTCGTAGACAAAATTTATGGTAGACAAAAGTAAATAAATATTTTGTGTACCCTTTCAAGTCGCAAAGTTTTGTCACGAATTCCTTAATTAATATGGTTCCGGAGGCAGTGTCAACGCAGTCTTTCTCATTGCAATCTGTCACTGTTTCTGATAATCTGGGCGACGTTTGCATAAGTTCGTCTAGTATTTTCGAGGAATAAAATGAATTTCTAAATATAAATAATTTATTCATACATAATTAAATGAGTATTGCTACCTGCTGATAATAATCTGTCAAGTGCTCGAAAATCTGACCGATGGGTTCCTGTACTACTGCAACTGGCGGCGAGTTGAGTGGGCCTGAAACAAAAAAATGATGGCTGCAAAAACAAAATGATAAAAGATTTAAATAACTAACCGTAGCCAACTGAAGAAGTAGAGCAAAATGAAGAGTCCAGCGTGACCTCCTCAAATATTTCGCCTTTGACCAGGAAATTGACGTCAGGGATTGTATGCTGCTCCAAAAAATGGGGAGGACTTCGTCATCAATTTCGGCTCCGTGACCGTCCTTCAGCACGATCTCATCTTCCAACTTTATTCCAAATTTGGATTTTACTAAAAATAACAACAAAAAGTAATTAACAATAAATTAACAATAAAAAAATAAAAATAACAATAAAAAGCATTTGCTAATTAACGTTTATCATTAGGAAACTTACATGTTTCTACGAAATCTTGATAATTGATTCGGGAGACAATTAATTTTTTGCCTCTAATGTCATTAGACACACGGACTAATTTCTTCTCCATGTCGCTGCTTGTGACTGAAAAGTCAAACTAATCAATTGAGCTTCCCGGGTTGAGACGAAGGGGATTTTGTCTCTATTGAAGGAGAAGAATCAACTCCGCTCTCATTTTAAGTTGGTGTTAATTTCAACACATTAAAGTTACAATTCTATTCCGTATCGGTGAGGTTCCGTATTAATATCTGCGGTGTTAATAATTTATGTGCGCGGATATAATTTTGGAGACAATATTATATCCGTGTCCGTTATGCTCGTTATCACCGAAGGCCGGTTATGTTTTTTTTGCTGATTTTAACACCGCTTTGCTAAGAGAGTACATAGATGAATATATTTTGGATGATGGTACTTCACTGCAGAGTTAAGTCGGTTTTTTTGGTAATCCGAGCCCCGATCCGTTTGGATAGGATCGGATATGTTTTTCGCCCGAGAACGGATCGATCGGATAGGATATTTTTATAGATAAAAAAAACGGATCAGATTTCTGAAAACCTTGATCCGACTAAGGTTTGTCGCTGGTTGTGAAACCAAATACTCGAAATTAGAATATTTGGTCTGGTCTGACATTGTTTGGATAATAAGTATTTTTTCATCCAAGAAACGGATCAGATCGGATATTTTGTCAATCAGTAGAAGGGATGGAATATTTTTGAAAATCCAAAAAAAAAGAATCGGAACGGATCGAATGTTTTTTCAATCCAAAAAAACGGATCGAATATTTACGAAAATAAAAAAAAAACGTATAGGAACGGATCGGATATTTTTTCAATCCGAAAAACGGATCGAATATTTAAAAAAATCCAATATCGGAACGGATCGGATTTCTGAAAATGCTGATCCGACCCATCTCTGCTTTGCATTTACTTCAGTTTAACGGATAATAGATACCCATGTGGAAAGCATGCCTGAGGCAACTTGGTTATTTATACTTGACAGCAGTCAGTTTGTTGGCAGGGTTACTTAGCTGGTCAAGATTATAAATACACCCCTCAACTCATTTGGATAATAAAAAGGCTGAAGAATTTTCCATTTTTCAAAATTTCTCGTAAAGATTGGAAATTAAAGTTAAAAGTTGGACCATGTCAGAAACGAGAACAACCTCTACCTCAAAAGCTTTACAAAATACATTGGTTCGTTAACCTTATTTAGCAACAATTTGAATATTCCGCCATACATGTTCTTTAATCATTTCCAGATACTTGGAAAAATTATCACCATCCTCGCAACCAGTGGGGTGAAGGAGGTGAGAAAGGTGTCTTCCCTGTGGGAATCGGTCGCCAATCCGATTCTAGGGAGACGGACGGTCTTCTCATTTATCAACCAGTATGGCCCGAGGGACTCAAATCCTTCCGTAAAAGTTCAGCTTTTACGACGCATTTATTTCAACTATGTCAGCCTTACTCTGGCTCAACGTGCCAATGATATTCTGGGGATAACAAATCCGCTACATTTCTCCGATTTTTTGGCAAAATATAAAATTTACATTGAAGAGTTAACTTTACACATCAATCACACACTCTAAACAAAATTGAGTAAAAAAGAGGATGACACAACAGTCGAGGTAAAATTTGTCCAAAATTGAGTAAAATTTGCCCAACGTTGTGCGAACAAGGTGCATCATCATCATAATTTTACTCAATGTTGGACAAATTTTACCTCGACTGTTGTGTCATCCTCTTTTTTACTCAAGGTTGGGCAAATTTAGTACAACTTTTTTTTAGAGTGCAAGTTTCAGCCTGTGATGGAAGGATTACAGGGGATGGGAAGTTTCACAAATCTTGTCAAATTTCAAGTTGAAGTTCACGATTTGGGATATGATTATGACACGTGTGAACTTAGCCCAGTCCAAATTTCCCATGACTTGCCTAATCTGAAGGAATTCAAGATTGTTAGTTACCGTATTAAAGGACAGGACGGGATTGGACCATTTTATCGAGAAATGACGACACTAATGTTGAAAATGGCGCGCAACTTGGAACGATTAATAATTTTGGATAATTTCTGCCCAGATTTGTCGAACTGTAAGAAATTGAAATATTTGGAGTGGCTGTGCAACCCGTACAAATGGACGGACTCGTATCTTTCTGAAATGTAAGTTGAATAAATGATACAAGTTATTTCATTTGAGCAAAGGCGGATTGATTTTTCACAGTTTTATTTAAAATGTCGAACTTTCAAAAGCGTAAATTCCAATTAACTAATGGCGTGTATTTTAAATATTTACTTAATTTTCAGGATCCTTTGCAGAGAGTTTGATATAACAAAATTTGTCGGCATGCTGGCCATGATTTCAAACACTTTGGAACGTTTAACCTTCGGTTTGAGAGATTCGTACTATTCGACTCCCCTGCCAAGAGTGCACTCTAAAAAAAGTTGTACTAAATTTGCCCAACCTTGAGTAAAAAAGAGGATGACACAACAGTCGAGGTAAAATTTGTCCAACATTGAGTAAAATTATGATGATGATGCACCTTGTTCGCACAACGTTGGGCAAATTTTACTCAATTTTGGACAAATTTTACCTCGACTGTTGTGTCATCCTCTTTTTTACTCAATTTTGTTTAGAGTGTGGTGGTTAGTCGTTTTATAATTTTGCACCGACTTTTCTGAAATGTTGCATAAATTTATTGTTCGAGTAAAGTAGAATATCGCTGGCTTAGTGAGTAATTCAGCCAAGTCCAAATCGTGTCATTTTTTCGCCAAAATGTTTTCGCCAAACTGACCGGATACCTAATTGTTAGCAGTATTACTCACTAAGCCGACGATATGTACACTCTTAGCAACTTGGTAAATTACCAATGTTAATAAATAAAAACAAGCGGAGTAGATATATGACTCTACCGCGACGGAATTAAAAATTTACACCAGGTTGGTATAGATTTAGTAATAAAATAACACTTTTTGGTAATAATTTTGACACTAATTTGTGTTATTTTTTTACCATATAGTATTGTTTTAATACCAAAGCATTACTATCGCGGTAGAGTCATATATGCACCCCGCGCAGTAATGATTCATTGAATTTTTGTTTAGAGTGTAGTGTACAAGGCATAATCCTTATGATTGCATATCTCTCTCTCTCTCGATTCTTCAAAGTGCATGGGGTGGTTTGATCGTTAGAGGCTAATATTTCCTAAAAATTCACTATTGGACCTGTTTTTTCGTTGTACATACATACCCACCTTTTTAGAAAAATGGGCGAAAAAAAACAATTCAATGCAGAAAAGTACTTATTTTTTATAAAAAATAAAGCTTTTCAGTAGTAGGTAAAGCAATCGATAACCAGCTTGTTCCTATTATTTGGTCATTTCTTTAGGAAACTTAAATCTAGCTTAATTATACATCTCTTTTTACAGATTGATCCTCACACCATACCAACTCTTAAAAACTGGAAGCCTTATCCTTGCCAGCTGTTAATGTTCTTGACCTGGATTTCGCAAACCTGACCTCGGAAGAACTACCCAATTTAAAACGTGTCAAACTGACCACCACCATTCGTACCCCATTTGTAGAGAGATCCCTCCCAAACTATCTCTTTATGGTTATGCCGTCAAGGACTATGGTAATAGAAGATTTAGAGATCGGACAACTCGTCGGATATCTCGCAAGATCGGTTTTTCCAAATTTGCCTTGAAACACTTGACCATTCAAGTTTCTGGAGTATTGGATGAATCCACAGATCTTGATGGCTGGAAAGGATTTTTCAGAAATTTGTACCAATCCCCGATAAACATATCGCGATTGACAATTTATATGGGAATCTGGTCATCATTTTCTAATTTAATGGGGGCGATGGATGTTATGGATGACCTAAATCCAGTGGAGGGTAAGAATGGTGGAACTTTTAAATTTTGTATTTTTATCCACCATGTTAAAATCCTTATCTCATAAACAAATTGTGAAGGTGCAGGTTTCAAAAATTAAAATTAGTGCTACTTATTTTATGAATAACCCTTTCCTTTACTAAAGGGTGAAACGAGGCGAAATCCCTTTATGGGAATGTCTTGTCTGTCCGTGTCCAGGATAACTTTAGAACCGATGCGGTTTTCGCTAATGTGTTTCGAATTTTTGATGTACGGATGAGTTCAAAGATGGGCTTTGTAGGTCATAAGGTCACGGCGCCATGGTGATGACTCCAATGTTCGAAGATGTCGAAATTTTTTATTTTGACAGTTTTAGACGTAGTTTTGGGCGGGGATTTCAAAAATTGGCATCATTTTGACGCAGATTTCTATTACAGCATACATATCTTTCACTGGATAACTGTTGCATTCGGGTTCTTTTCGTTCACGAGAAGGCTTGACATTTGACTTCATTTTGACAAAAAAAATAGTTCAAAAATATAACAGGTGCAAAAGTTTTAGCCGAATTGTTACCGAAGGGAGAGTGACGGAAAGAAATTTTCCGAACGCAGCGTGTGTATGTATGACCGTGTGTTTTCACTCCCCTGCTACATTTCGTTTGCAACGGTTTATTTAGTACTTATTCTGAATTTCATTGTGTTTCCTTATTGTATTTAGATCTCAAGTGTCAGCATCATTAATGGAGCCCCCCAAACTCACAATTACCAATATGACTCACAACGCACCAAGTTCGAAAATGTGTTTCGAACTTGGCAGCCAAATTTATCCTTTGTGGGATACGAGGTATGGAATTTCATATTTTTAGGAATTAAAGTGTTTTGATGATATTATAATCTAACGTATTTACTACTTGTTTATTATTAAAGTTCAAACTTCCCGCGGCTACTCGAATGAAGAAATTCATCAAGGAAAATAATTTGGGCGTTAGTTTTGTAGACAAAATTGATCACTGATACAAGTTCTACCGTAGATATTGGCTTGTGAAACTGCTCGTCAGGAAGCAATGACGATATTAAAATATGCAGCCTACACTGAAAATAAAGTCTTGAAAATTCGTTTAAGTACTTAAGGTTTGCACTGTTTACAGATTAAAAGTGTTTCTTGTTGCGTGAACAAAGTTACTTTCATGCATATGCACATGCTCATGTAAAACATGGATATTACATATGTATTTCATGCATAGTAAGTAAAATATGGATTCATTTTACTCATTTAGTTTCCACCATTGATGAAGATTAGATCATAATTATATAAATATTTTAATCGGTTATTTTGCGCCATTAAAACTAAATAATGTCAAAATTGTGTATCTATTTTAACCGTCTATTTTAACCGTGTACAAGGGGTGCAAAATTATGTAAAAATAATTATTACAGGGTGACCTACTTCTAACGTTACAACGGTTCATTAGCAAATATTAACAACAATTGTAAACATTTGTAATATTTGAAACTTTAAGGCAAATCGGGATCCCTAAAGTGGTCGAGAATTGAATCCCTCGCATTGGGAAAAATATCCAATAATCCATTGTAAAACGGACTTCCCTCGTTCTGTCGTGAATTTCCTGGACGTTTGAAACCAACCCATTTCACAGACTCAACAACTCGACCCGGATTAATTGTAAGTTGGGATGGAAGAAAAAGATGAAAACAAGGAACGGCCCTACATCTCGAAGAAACATGTAAAGTTTCCAGGACCGGGAAACAATTTGAGTAATCAATCCGTCCAAAATTTCCTGACTCGAAACTACTCTCAAATTTTAGACTGCGATAGAATTCACTGTTACAAATCCTTAAAATTTTCAAAGCAGGAAATGCCGGGAAAATCTAGCCCAACTGGGTGTGAGGTAATATATCGATACAAAGGTTTTCCAGACTGAGAGAATGTTTTTTTAACAAGGTGTACATAATTGTAGGAATTTCGGAAATAAGATCATCATTATGGTCGAGTTTAATCGCATAAACGCAAGTTTCTTCAAAGGACCGGGAATTTCCAGTAAGCATTCCATATTGTTGTTGTCTAAGCCTCCAAACAATTCCAAGGTGTTCAGTGATCTGAAAATTAATAAAAAATATTTAGTCTCCTCTAAGTCTATTTAAAAAAATCAATTGGGTCTGGCATCGACGAAAAGTAAAAGATATGTTAATTCCATTATTAAGCCCACTTTTTTCTTATGAGTTACCAAAAAAACGAGATAATTCAAGGCAAACATCGATGAGGGTATTCATGCAGTGTGGGCATGTGGGCAGAGCCAAAAGTTCGCAACTAATTTTCCGCACAGAAAACTTGTTGCAAATGTTGTGAAATTTATTATTTTGCGATACGCTACTCATATAATGAATACCCCCAATACATATAACACCCAACGACATTTACGAGCTTGTAAAATTGTGCATGTTTAATGAATCCCTCTCCAATCCTGAATTTTTGTCAATATTCCCTTCCAAAATTGACACTTACCCCGGAAAGTTTTTCAGGAAACCAGCCTTTCCCAGTTCAAGTAGGTGACGAGTCTCAATTTGTATCTGTTCTATCGCTGTGAACGCTTCCGTCACTGCGTGGCCAATCCTCTCGAGCGATTCATTTCTAAGTTGGGCTGGATAACTGATTTCCAGTCTTTTCAATTTCGAGAAGCTCTTCCCGCAAAGGGATGGAAAAACATGGTAATTTTCCCATTTAAACTGTAACCTTTGCAGACTCGTGGGCGACATGCGAATGAGTCTGAGAACGAGTCCTTCTGCCACTGAACGTGATGTGGGGTGAGGAATTGGATCGAAATTGATTTCATCTTGCGAACAGGATCAAACGTTTTGGGGTCAAAGGACGGCTCAACGTATTCACGTTGGCTGTATTTGTAGGAAAATTTTATGTCAATGTTGACCGGGCAAAATTTAGTTTTTCTGCGACAACGTCATGATCGGTCGAGTTTTCTGGATGGAATTCAATCCCTATCTGCGTCCTGAGCTTGAGGGCGTGTGTGGCACCTACGTGCCACGATTTGGACACGAAACGACACTTTTTGATGTCAGGAATTGATAGGAATTTGCAAACTAGTGGAATCACCTGGCAAAGCAAAATATAAGTGTATCATAATCGCACTAATTCTAAAATTATCTATGTGCACGGGTTTCTTAATTCTAAAGCCAGCTATGTGCAGTCAGTGCTTAATTCTAAAAGGTGCTACATAAGTGCAAGGGAAGAACCAATGGTGTGAACAGTACACTTAGCTGATTTCAGAATTAACGAACGACTGCACATAGCTGATTTTAGAATTAAGAAACCAGTGCATATAGATCATTTTAGAATTAGTAGGACGATATGTAAATTACTGGTGAAAAAGCCAAAAAATCGAAAGTGTTGATGATATGTATCGTCGGCTTAGTGAGTAATGCAGCCAAGTCCAAAACGCCGAAATCAAGCCAATAGCAACTTACCAGTAGTAAGTCACCTATTTTGTACGGGACTAGGTCTGATTTCTTTTTGACGTGTTTTGGACTTGACTGTATTACTCACCCAAGGATATACGGAATTGTCAAAAAACATGGGAACTAATTTTTTTCTTAAAAATTCATAAAAAATATGTTCGAGGCAAAAATGTATAATTTTTCATTAACAAGACGTTTTTCCAAAATTGTATAAGACTAGCTTCGGAGAAAGAGGTACATGGTCCTAACGGTGTTTGTCACAAAACCAAAAACGCTCTTACACGTGTACGCGCGTTTTTTCTCAAAGTGCCCCAAATTTTTCGTTTTGCCCCAAACGCACGGAACGCTGATTGTGACGCTATTATCCTGCCGATTTTCTCCACACATGGCATGTAATCCTAATTTAGGGTCGGTCAGAGCGTTCCAGAGAAATTGACCGTTTAGGCTGAAATTGATAATGCCAACTACCTGAAATTTTTGGCAATGTTTTTCGTTTTTTAGAAATATTTCCAAAATTTATGAAATGGTATTGTTCCAGCTGCATATCTCTACAGAAACCCTATATTCTGGTTTGAACGCCGTTGGAGTGAAGCCTCTAGCTCAAGTATTAAAGGTACTTTGTAGGAACATCGACGACGGTCGAAATTGCTACAAAGTGCCCTTAATGCTAACTTTCCTAATGACCGCTTGTTTTATTTGCTTTCAAATTTTGGTATGTTATTGACCCTTAGGAGGCGAACATAGTTAAATTACCCCAAAGTCGAAATCGACCTGAGTGACCTTGTTTTAGAGGTCAGCGGGACAAATCAGAAGATAAAGTCTCACATATGTCTATGTGGGGTGACCAGTCTACTCACATAAAAGAGATAGCCAGGCCAGCGGCGGTAGCACATTAAAGGCTAATTGCCGACAAGTCTCACATATGCGGTATCGTTCGAAAGGTCTCGGTGAGGGGATTCATAATATGTATACGCTGTGGGGTCTTGGACCACTCTCTGATGTTCCAGAGACAGGAGAATACTTTTGAGTTTATGTGCATTGATTGTCATATGAGGTCCCAATCTGCTGCAGTGTTAAATTTTGAGAATTGACAATTTTACTTCCGAAGCTAGTCATAAGCTTGTTATTTAACGGAAAATTGAAACTTATTGCATGTAATTCTCATGCATTTTGGGGAAAATAATTTCCCATGTTTTTTGACAACTCTATGCAATAATGAAGATAAGTTAATAAATAATTTTTCGAAGTTAGGATGTAAAACCAGGTTTTTTACATCAGGGATAAGCTCTGGATCCTCCTCATCATCAGAATAAGGCATGGAATCCCCTCCCTGCAAAATATTTAAGATAATCAAAAAAATAAACAAGAAGCATCTATGTTCTCAATTGTTTCGCACCATTTTGAGTCTCCGATTATTCGATATCAGTGGTGCTAATAAGTCGGTCAGGAATGCCAATAACTGGCTCTAATTAGCACGAATTGATGCAAAAGAGTCGTTAACAGACAGACGCGGACGACGGACGGACGGACAAGAGGAATTCAATAGCTCCTCTGCTGCGCAGGGTGAGCTAATAACTATAATTTTTACTTCCAATTTATCAAGATTTCATGTCAAAATTATGGCGTCTTTTCCCTCGTTCTTGTTAAGTTAGAAACATTGGTCTCCAACCTATAAATAGATCATTCAATTCGTTTTGTTAGATATGTATTTCATATTTCATCACAATGCGTATTTTTGTGTGTACCAAATCCATATCCAACGATAAACTTGCGTACCATGTGTGCCTCTTTATTTATTAAGTAGCGCAAGCTACTTTATGCGATCGGTTAGTTAGTCTGTCCGTCCGTCTGTCTGTCTGTCTACTGTCTGTCTGTCTGTCTGTCCGTGAGCACTAAAACTCGAGAACGGTTTGTCGCAGCGACCTGAAATCTTTAACACATGTTCATCACGGGGTGGGGTGACACCCTATTAAGGGGTGTGGCCACTGTGTCGACATCATGTCAAAAACGTCGCCATGGCCTAATTTCTGGATTTTTTGGGCGATTTGCATGAAATTTGGACAAAACATGTTTTTTAGTGTTGTCGACATGTCGCAATATGGCGACTAAGGTTTCGACGACAAATTTTATCGCCATGCCCTAATTTCGGCATTCTGCGGTCGATATGCATGAAATTTAGGCAAAACATGTTTTTCTGTGTTGTCGACATGTCACAGTATAGAGCATGTGGTCAATTAATTAATTAATCAATCTTAATCAATTAATTAATCAATCAGTCAATCAGTTAATTAATTAATTAATTAAAGTAATTAATTGAGAATTAATTTGAGCTTTATAGCGCAAATTAATTCTCAGCATTCTCAGCATCTCAGCATTAT